TCTCTTTTCAGGGCCTTTCTTGGTTTCCTGTGGTGCTCTCTTTCCAGGCTCTTTCTTACTTGAAGATGACACTTTGTGTTTATTCGAAGACAGTGTGGACTCGGCATCCCGGCGAGGATCGTCCCCGGGGGATTGACTCAGTCTTTCTTCAGAACGCTCGGATCTAGGCTTTTGGGGTGTTGCCACTTGAGTTGGCTCAGCACCACGGCGAGAATCGACTTTTGAAGATTTATTCGATTTTGCTTCGGAGCGTTCAGATCCAGGCCTAGTGTTCTTATTTGACCCGGCATCACGGCGAGGGAGGTCCCTAGAAAATTCACTCGGTTTTTCTTCGGGACGTTCAGATCTCGGCCTTTTAGGCGTAGAAATTTGATTTGAATCAGCGCTTTGGCCAAAAGGGTCTCTTGAATAGTCAGTCGGTTTTACTTTGGAGCGTTCATATCCAAGCTTTTTGGGAGTAGAATTTTTACTTGACTCGGCACCGTGGCAAGGACCTTCTCTAGAGGATCCACTCGGTTTTTCTTCGGCGCGTTCAGATCCAGGTCTTTTGGGAGAATACGAAGGAGAATCCTTTGAAGCATCAACTTTGAAATCGACGCGATTCTTCTGACGTTGATTTTGCACCTGAGTATTCTTTGTTTCTTCTCTGCCACCATCCCCGGTTTTCTCCTGCTTGTTTGGAGGACTCTCAATAACTTCGTTTTGCCTTTGCGTCTTGGCCTTTCTTGCACGACCGCCACTTCTAGCGTTCTTCTTCCTGGGGGCATCTGCCTGCGTAGCGGAAGTTTCAATGGGTTCTTCTTGTTCCTCAGCTCTCTTTCGCTCACCTTTGTCTACTGCAGTCGCATTTGCCTCCGATTTACCTTTCAAAGTAACCTCCCGGTTAGATAAATGTTGCTCCTCTGTGCTCACCCTTCTGGAGGCCACTTTATTGTGCCCTTGGGTCGACGAAGCCGTTCCATTGGGCTTTTCAGAAACACTTTCTGTACTATCAACTTTATCCACCATCATTCCTTCATCCTTTTTTCTAATCAAATTCTCGGTAACAGTTGTACATGTTTCCTCTTTTACTGTTACCTCGGTGTCGTGGAAGGAAGCAATCGCATCATCTGATTCTTGAAGTTCAGTGTGCCCACTGGGATTCAATTCCTTTACAGGCAATGGAGCTGAGCAACTGGTTTGCAATTCAGCTGTAGCGTTGCCTTCCCATAGGCTCTTCACTTTGCTCAGCTTGGATAACAACTGGTGTTCTTCTGGTGTCTTAGCAGCTTTCAAATTCTTTGGAGCAATGTGCAGGTCCTTAGACTGACATAAAATGGGAAATATGTTTCAAAAATACGAGAAAGGGAAAGGGCACAATTGCAAGAATACGTTAGACTGTGGAAGAAGAGATCAATTAGGATCTTCATCCGACACTACCACTTCCTATAAGTAAGGGAGGCTAAACTAATCATTAGCTTCTGAAACGTTCAATCCACTAAAAATTTCAAATAAAAGAAAGAAGTCTCTCAGGCATTTTTACAACTATCGAACGCAGAAATGTAAATTATAACCAAAATGCAACTTGACAATGGTAGCAAANTTAAAAGAAAGACAAGTTTCATTCAAGAAATTCGAGAAGTCCTCAATAACTCAGCAAAAAATTGTGAAGCGTTAAAGTTCAATCCTCGTCGTCTGACTCAATGATGTAAGCCCTTCGTTACTTCTGTGGTTGGGGTGGAGAATCCTGGCTGTCTCTGGAGAAGAAATTGAAGGTGCAGCGTGTGTAATTCTACGATGGAACGGGAGCAGCACAACTGAAGGCTTCCAAGCGGTACTGCGGAGACTGCAATGGAAAACGTGGTTCAAATCCTGAAAATTCAGCTGGCTGAAAACTAGGATTGGAACCCATGGCCTGATACAATTGGCCTTGTTGTTGGACGTGATAAATAGGAACCAGAGGTGTTCGTTTATGTTGGACTGCAATCTCTTGATTTGAGGCTTGCTTTGCAGTGTTTTCACGGGTTGCTTGATTTTCGTTTGACACGTCTTTATATCCACTGATAACGTGAGACAGTTCTTTCCTGTGATTCTCGTCTATTTCATCGTAGTCGTCTAACGAAGATTCACGTGCATGGCCTGTTATTTCACAGATGATATTGCGCGGTTGACCTGATTTCTTCAGTTTTGATACCAATGTTTTCCTCATGCTGTGGTTCGTCAGCTTCTTATTCGTCATGAGACAGGAGGCCATAGATTTCATTAAATTGGCGATGGTGTTTTGTCCCATTCGAACTTTCGTATACCAAACATCTGCTGATTTAGGACGATTTATGATGCTTAGATAGATTGGCCCTGTGTTCTTCATTCCCTTGGGTCGCTTGGACAACCAAAGCTTGAATAGCCGCACTGGATCGCTTTTTCCGCCATCGGTGCTGAACATTGCTTGTGGTGTTGTTCTTCGCCTGATGGTGAGACCACCGTTCCGTGTTTTAGTGGGACCTTTTCTGAACTCAACAACTTCAGTTCCATCTTCTCGCTGTCTTATAGTTACGTCTTCCACGTACGCATCGTAGTGTTCTGGGCGACCACGAAATCCCAGTTGTTCCGTCAAATTTTTAAAGTTGACATTGGTCAAGACCTTTCCTTTAACATCACCCCGTTGGCTGGAAAAAAGATGCGAATTAGAGCAAAAAATGGTGCGATTTGGGAATAAATCGCACCAATTAGAGCCAATCAGATTACAGGGACCACCAGTGATTTCAAAATGAATGCAATAAATTTAAATTGTAACATCTGGGACTGTCAAGAAGTTTAAAATAATTTTTCGGTGGAAATTCTGTTTGACTGTCTGGTTTACGGCCAGAGCGTAGTACTAAAAGCTAATTATTTCGTTCCTCTCCCCTCCACCTCCCTACATCACTCGTCTCAGATCTTCCACTAGTCCAATATGACGACCGAAGACATTTGCCGCGCTGAATCTGGCCTATGCTAACTACCACCTGCAAGGCTACAGTTTTTTTCGCTTCTTTCCTTTTTCTATGACATTGTTGCAATTAGGTGTAAATATAACGTTTTCTGAAACTGTTACCATTACACAGCGCGTTGGAGTAAAGTTCCATTGTGTTGTAAAACCAAATTTTTAGTAGTACGTCCAATTAGGAGAAAGGAGATTGCACAAGCCAATACGCTTTCAAAGTAAAGACAAACAACTGCCTATTGCGTTAAGCGCCGGGGAGAAAGAAGGGGAAAGGGTAGGGGCAACGTATGTCGCGATTGTTTCAATTTTGTCTATGATTGGTTGAAAAAACGGTAGGAGATTCTGAGCCAATCACAACC